CTGTTGAATGAATGCAGTAGACATTCTCTAGACTGTTGAATGAATGCAGTGGACATTCTCTAGCCTGTTGAATGAATGCAGTGGACACTCTCTAGCCGGTTGAATAAATATAGCAGACACTCCCTAGCCTGTTGAATGGATTCAGCATATACTTCTTAGCCTTCTGAATGAATGTAGTGGTCACTCCATAACCTAAGTGGATACTCCATAGTCCAGTGAATGAATTCAGGACAGAAAGTTCATCTAGAAGTCCACCATCCCAAAATAACTAAATAACACAACTGTATTCTATAATTTTCCTCTTTCCACTTAAAAATATGATACAAACATTTCTCTCTGACCTAATTTTACTGAATTAACTCTTTAAAGGCCATTTCTTGAAATTCAGCTCATTCTAAGATTTTGGGGGTTAGAATTTCAATATGTGAAGACACAGCTTAGCCCCCAGCAATAGATTTTATAAAATCCTACCTATTTGCTTTTGGCATAACAGGCAGACATCTGAATGTCTTGCCTTCACAGAGGATGAGAGAGCTTGAATCTTGCATACCTAGAATTCCAGCTATCTGCTCTAGGTTCTGTCCCTCTGCCGGCAGACTCCCTGCCTGCCAGACCCTTTTCCTTGGGGCTCACCTCCCACCCCTGAGCAACACTTCACATCTGTTTCTTCATTTTGCTTCCTCGGACATTACTTCATTTTTTTCCTGATCTTATTTCAGAAGCATGTCGACTTTCTACACATACATGGTTCTTTACCAGGGATTATGCTTCTATTGTACCATTCTGGGATAGTACTGTCATTTTAGTGGGCCTTGGAGACACGGACGATAAATACAAATGCATTCTGAATGCAGTGTAGCAAACGGATTGGGGGACATATACTTTCTGCTTATTAAGATTGCTCACCTACAAAGCTGCCGTCAAGTATTTAAGGGTGATAGAAGTTACAGAAGGCAAAGTGGGGATCCAGAGAACCCAGAACACTCCACCTGTGGACACCCAAACCATACTGTCCAGATTTATGTGGACCAGGGCTTCATCTCATTTCCCACTAGCCCTTCTTTCAGTTTCCAGGAGTCATTCCTGGATGCCTTATCTCCTTTCCTCAGAAAACAGCAAGGACATTATCACCTAACCCTCTGACTTTCCAGAAGCTAAGAAGTAACTGACCCTAGGGAGATGACCCAGGGTGTCAGGACAGGGACAGGTCTGCTTCTCTGACAAGTCCCAGTCCTCTAGTCATGATAGACATGACTGACCTTTCCATTTACACCGTAATGCATTGACGTTTCTGTTGGAGGCTCAGATAATGGATGGAGGGTGGTGAACTTTCTGTCAAGAGGGGTGATTTGTAGGAACTAATCACCTTACAATAGTTGGCCACAAATAAGAAATCCAGTAGAGCATCCTGAGCAGACATTTATATTCATAAACATTACTAAGCCCCAAGGAAAAAGTTCTCCAATAAGGCTCCTAGGGACGTTACTAGTTTTACAAAAAGGGAAGGGCAGAGGTAGAGCAAATTTGAACATATATTTTACTGAAGAATTTTAGTGTTTTTACATCTTTGTTCTGTAGTGTCCTAAATCCCAAGTCTTCAGAATCTTTAGACTGACTTGCCCACCTGTTAGAGTGAGGCTACCTGGGAACAGAGTGACCCTAGCAGCAGTCTGGAATCGGCCTGCATTTCCTCTCTTTGGCACCTACAATTTAAGCCAACAGTTAAACCTGCTACTTATTTTTACCATTTCTGGGAGGAAAAGGGCATATTTTGCTCTAGAAGAGCATCTTGGGGTATGATGACCCATACAGTTTTAGGGTGTTCAGAATTTCTTGCCCTTGAAAGGGTCAGCTTACAGCGGGAGACGGCCGAACCCTCGTTTGCCACTGTTAGGGTGATCGAGCCTGTTTGTGGCTTTCTTGGTCAGGTGAAGGGGTTGGTTTCCTTGGTGCAGATCTCTGGGCCTGGCTCTCCAGGGAAGTAATCTTGACAGAGCTGATTGCAGTGAGAAGCTGTCTTCACTTTCTGTAAATTTGGTTACCCAGGCGGCAGTAAACAATGAGGCAAGCAACATTCAGATCTGGGGGTTTCAAAGACGTTTCCCTAGATCTGGGCTCGTGGCTGTTGTGAACTTTGGAACAAGCTTTTTGTTTTTTTCCTCTCCAAGGCTTCTTTGATCCATATGTAGAAAATAGGATCTTACCTTCCATCATGAAAGCTACAGTTGTTTCCATATACACACTCCTTTGGCTCTTAGCTTGAACTTGTCTCCCACTCCTTCACAGTCTGAGACTTAATGCACAGCTCACACATGGTGAGTATTGCCTGTGGAGATTGACTGTGTGCATCCTATTTAGCAGAAAGGCCACATGGGCCCTATAGTTCTGACAGCCAGTGGACACTTGAAACGGGGTTGTGGGAACCCATGTCTGGAGTAAGGATTGTCTGATTTGCCACATTTGCTCTCCCTTTTTGAATAAATTTTAGGAGTGATCTGAACAATAACATCCCTAGGATAATAGAAAAAGACTTAACGGCCGCAAGCAGCAGTCAGTTTAATGGTATTATTCATATGAGGTTAAATACAGAGACATCTTTGAGTTGCACCTAATTTCCCAACTTGTTTTCTTTGTGTTTTAATTCTTAGCTCTAAAATTCTGCCGTGGGCTTTGGCGCTTTTAGCTTCCCAGAAACAATAGTAACTGCAAAGATTTTTTTTTATTTGAATGGAGAACTATAATTACATAACTTGATAGGTTTCTTCTGTAAAAAGTCCTGCTCAGTAATTCTTTTGAAGAAGAATTACTCTATGTAATGAAAATTTTTGTGCCCCCTCACCCCCCGAATTCTTACATCAAAGTCTCATTCCCATTGTGATAAGATTTGGAGGTGGGATCTTTGTGAGATAACTAGAATATGAATGTAGACACACCCTGAGTGGGACTGGTGCTCTGAAAACAGAGACATGAATGATGGCCTCTCTTTCCCTCCCATCCCTTGTAATCAGAAAGCAAGAGGGTCCTCAGCAGATACTGTATCCGCTTGGTCTTGGACTTCACATCCTCCAGAACTGAAAAAAATCAATCAATATTCATCGTTTAAGCCACCTATTTCATGAGCATACTAAAATAAATGATTTTTTTTATGGAAGTTGTCACAGTACCTTTGCTTAATGAGTTTCTTAAGTACAAAACTCTTCAAATAACTTTTCAAACATTTCCTGAAGGGGTGTAGCCCTCTGAGATGGCAGTTGCCAACTGTCGCACTGTACTTCTGACTTTGTTACTTCCTAGCTGGGTGACCTGGACCAGATCTCAATTGCATTCCCAAAGCAAGGTCAGGGAC